CCTTCTGGTTAGCAGTCAAGTGCCTTAGCCACTATGCTACCAGAGCTCCCTATTTTCAATTATTCAAATTTATTTGCTATGGTAGAACCAAATTTGAGTGATTGATTTTGTTCCCTTCACCCAAGTTAATACGTTTCTACCCTCTAGTTAATGGCTTACCATCTCTCCCTGGTAACCATCAAAGAATATTTCTTTTTTTTGCGAAACACTTTTCTTGACTTTTTATAACAGTGGTCTTATACAATATTTGTCCTGTTGTGATTGACTGATTTCACTCAGCATAACGGCCTCTAAGTTCACAGATTCATCACTGTTCTTTAACATTGCGTAGTAGTAGCCCATTGTGAGTATGATCCATTCCTTTTGTTGATCCATTCCTCCATTAATGGGCATTTAGGTTATTTCCAACTCTTTGCTATTGTGAATAGTGCTGCTACGAACATACCAAAAAACCAAACTCACTGCCGTTGAGTCAGATCCAACTCATAGCAACCCCTCCTTAGGTTTCCGAGGCAGTATCACTACAGAAGTAGATTGCCCAACCTTCCTTTCGAGGAGTGGCTGGTGGGTTTGAACCACTGGCCTTCTGGTTAGCAGCCAAGTGCCTTAGGCACTACAGGTGTGCATGTATCTGTTTGTGTCATGGCTCTTATTTCTCTACAATATATACCTAGTAGTGGGATTGCTCCAGGACTTTGCACATTTCGTTATAATAGACTTTGTCTTCTCGAGCTGCTCTTTGGAATATTCTGTTCACCTCTTTTATCTTGTCATTTCTTCCATTTGTTTTAGTGATGCTTCACTCAAGAACAAGTTCCAGAGTCTCCTCTGACATCCATTTTGGTCTTTCCTGTCTTTTTAATGACCTCTTGCTTTCTTCATGGATGATGTTCATGATGTCATCCCACAATTCCTCTGGTTTTTGGTCACTGGTGTTTGTTCTGGTTCCCTACTGCCACTCTGACAAGAATATACCACAGATGGGATGGCCTTAACAAACGGGAGTTCACTCTCTTACAGTTTGGGAGGCTAGAAATCTGAGTTCAAAGTGCCAGGCTCTAGGGGTTGGGTGAAAGCCCCTTGACCTTGGCTTCAGCTCTGCCTCTTGCTCCTGGCCCACTGAAGCTAGAGGCATTTCTTCACTCAGGCAGCTACTGGCTGCTGAGGCTAACAAGCCCAAGGTCGGCAAATAAAATGGCACAGTCCCGATGTTACCAAACCACATGGCAGGCCATTAACTCAAGTCCTTTGTAAGTCCCAAGGTCTGCAGAGCATGGCAGGCTGCTGAACAATGAC